TTGAAGATTGATATTATAAGTTGTTTATTTCATTTATTTTTTTTTTTTACCACTCTGAACGTCCACCTCTCGACCAGTACCCTAAGGTAAAGGCTGAACGATCATCGATGACGTGCTCCCGTGCCGCTAGGGCCCGGGACCTCGTCTGCCTCACGCTCAGAGAGATGGACCGTAACTCTTCATCGTGGCTGGTATCCACTTCCGTAATGGAGTGTATAAATGAAGATCTTACTACAGAAATGATCCTGTGAAGTATGATCTTGACACGACGTCGGTCACGACCGACGGTCCAGCCGAATTCGATCGTACACAACCCTGTGAGAATCAATATATAAACACTATCGACAGACAATCTCGCGCCGGACTCGGACCTCAGTAAAGACGCTGTTCTGCAAGGAGCTCAGTCACAGTCTAAGCGAAATAAGTCGCAAACAGCACGCGACCGTTTGCCGATCGGTTTCTATAGCGTGGTTTCACCTCGTCTCCGCGCCGGCGCAGCCAGTGACCGACGACGTGTCCGAGCCAGCCACTGTTGGTCTGGACGACGTGGACGGTTTCGCTCGGTGTTTACACGTTGCCCAGAGGTTTTTCTTTTTGAAACCTCGGGATTCGTTTACCGTTAACCGTTTTCAAGACGACGACACGATTTTGGCGACATAAATTTACAATTACCGACACCGTTACAGCTGTAGTGTGGATCGGTTCTCGCACTGATACCCGCTACACGCCAGAGCCGGGTGCCCATTTCGTCGCTCTCGCACTCATACTTACCTGGCGTAGGGGTTACCGTGATCAAGAAGGCGGTTCCCCCAGGATGAGGCCCTTCCATTGCACTACGGTCGGGCTGACTCCTGCGAATGCCCCAAATGTGGGTATCTCGGGCGCGTAATTTTTGGTAGCGGGGACTGCGTTCGCGCTGTCCCTAATAATACACATTCAACTCCAATGGGGTGTATAGTGAGTAGGTAGAGAAAGTCATTCGTTATTTTATACAAACAACAGCGGTAGTGTACGTAAATAAATGATATTTTTGTTAACAATCGTTGAATAAGAATAACGTAGCGCAATAACCTGTAAACAAAAAAGAAACGGACTAAATTTTTCATAATATTAAATCGTGCAATACGTTATATTATTCAATGTTGATTGTTATTTACTTTTTTAACAGTCGATGAATTTCGTAGCGCAAAACTGACTAGGATCCTACCACGGATCTGGCGAATCCACTAATTTTCGAGTTTTTATCCATTTTGATTTATAAAACTGATAATGTATTGCTGATTGCTCTGTCAGTTAGAATAATGATGGTTCACTCAGGATGGTGACAGGTACTTCCAGCACTCGCCAACGGCCATACCACGTTGAATATACCGGTTCTCGTCCGATCACCGAAGTCAAGCAACGTCGGGCGTGGTTAGTACTTGGATGGGTGACCGCTTGGGAACACCACGTGCTGTTGGCATTTTTTTCATTTTGTACTTTTCACTATATTTAAAATTTCCTCTTGTTTATTTTTTGTTATTTCCAAAGGTCTTCTTTTCACTATATTTTTATTTTCTTATTGCTAATTTTTTGTTATTTCCAATAGTTTTCACCGTTTACTGTGACACACTTGTATTCACATTAGGCATACATTTATTTTTATTTATTTGGAATACTCGGTATGTTGTGTACAGCAAACAATACTGTAGTCTATTAACGAACTAGTGTTGACTTAATAACAACGGTAACATGAACGACCCGTCGTGTCGTCTCGTCAGCGGTCGCTCGAACGTCGATAATAATTTATTCGGTCTACATTTTTACAATGCAGTACTTAGAATCAATTAATTGATGCGTGTCAATATCTCTGTACTACTTATTATTAGTTGAACGTACGATATGGTATTATGGTGGGCCGGTCCCGGCGGTACTGCAATGCCGGGTCAACCCGTGACAGAGGTGGAGCAAGCTCCTAGCACTCCGTCGATTTCCAAAAATCAGTTTAACAAACTGGTCCCTCGATGAGGGACGTATCAGATGTTAAGCTGATAAGAACAGATTGACAACTTTTTATTAACATATTTAAATAATATACAATTCAACCCTTTACATTTCATGCAATTCAAAGGTGGTATCTTCATGCAATATTATGAGTCCACATGCTCATTATGAGCTTCATTTTTTAAACTTTACATGCAAAATACAAATGTGGTTCGATGATGCAGTCCACCTTAAACCCTTGGTTGACAAACTAATCACTGTCACTGCTTAACTATTCAAAAAACTTATAACTACCTAAGTAATGGCAACCTAACAATAAAATTTGAACGCATGGCCCAGGCTTGCTGCACTTTGGATCGCCACTCCACATTTAACTAATAAATATATCAAAAATGTTTACAGTGTTGGAAATTAAATTTCCCTAACTAAAACTAGTACAAATAAATATCTAGGAAAGGTGCAGCAAGCCACTTATAAATTAAATAACAATGATAAAAATTTATTAAATTTAACAATGCACACAAATAAATAATGAAACTTTGAACTTCACTCCACTTTTTTATTTCTTTTTTTTTCACATAACACTTCACAACATGATCACAATATCAAATCACAAACATTTTTTTTTTTCCTAATTAAACAACAAAGGGCCATGCGTTCGATACCACTGATGGGGGTTCCCTACCATTGCCGATGGCCTGTGATATGAGTCACGTAGATGTTTCGTGACCACATGATCACATCAGAGACCATCTGGCGTCTAATGGCCTGGGCACAGCGCGAGGAGATGTTCAACAGTTTTAACACTCGCTCGTTCGCCATGTCCCAGGATCCCAAGGAACCCACGATGAACCCATCCAGGGTGACAGAGTATCCCTTGAGGCGAAGTTCATCAGCTAGCTGACGGTATTTCTCAATTTTGAGTCGTCTCGCGTCAGCTAGCGCCCCGTACCTGTTTTCGAACGGGATAGCCACATCCACCAAGTGGATGCGCTTTTCCCGCTCGTTCGTGACGACCAGGTCGGGCCTCAAGGTACTCTCGACACCGGGAACGGTCAGGTCAACCCTGGTGGTTCCGGTCCTTTCCGGGATTGATTCGGCTAAGCGATGGAGTACTGCATCATGGCGCTTTCTCCAGCCCTCACTGGTCGGCTGGCAGTGGTTCAGCACGTGAGGCAGAGTTTCTGCCTGCTCACCACAGCGCCTGCACCTCCTATCGCCTTCGCCCCAACGCCTGCAACCGTTCAGAGGGACGGTGCCGAGGCGAGCTTTAAAAATAAAGCGCCAATCGGCAAATCGAGTGAACTTGCCGGCCTGGATGAAATGATTTGAATCACGGCATCGGCAAGCCACGTCGAAGACCTTCCCCTGATCAGGCTTCCTAGTGAGTGTCTTCTTCAACTTGAGCCTCATGGCAGTCTTCAATCTTGCAAAAAAATGGCCCCTTGCGTCCTCTGGGACAATGACTGGACCGGAAGTGCCGTCAGGCGAGGGAATTCGAATTTGGAACTCCTCCCTGTCATGGTCGAACTTCCAGTAGACTCCGATTTTCTTTTGGAGCCTACCGGCGGCATTCCTCGCATCAGTCCACAGAGAACCGATGTCACCTCCATCCCTGGCAAAGTCACCGTCCAACCTACCGGACAAGTAGTCGGCAACCTCGTCAAGGGAAACGGGACGCCCAAGGCGTTTCCTGGCGACATGCGAAAGAGTAGCTCTAGCCAGGTCTTTCACCACAGGGTCAGTACACGTGACCATGCGGAAGGCATGGGCCACGGAGGATATGTCAACTAGGTCTGCCAGAGGGAACATTCCGGCCCCTCCCTCTGCCACACCCAGATAGACCACCTCAGCACTGGCTCGCTGTGGAAGGTAGAGCCACTTCTTCACCATTCTCTTCACGTCATTGTCGAGCTTCTTCAGTGGGGTCTTGGCCACCCTGGCTCCCCTCATGATGAAGTCTAGCCGTGGGAGTATGAACATCCTCACGGCTTCCAACTTCTGCCAAGGTGCCAGAAGACTCTCGTCGATCTTCTTCACATCTTCGGCCATTCTGGCAATGTCATGTTCCGGTGTTTGGTCCACTTTGAATCCAGTTGGCACCCCGAGATGACGGTACTCCTCGCCCTCTTTCAGACACACCATAGGAGAACCACCGATCTCGTACTCGGTCGCCAGGACTCGCCTGCGGTTGCGGCAATCCACCTCGAGGCTTGCACACTTCCTGGGGTTAAACCTTAGGCCAGCCCAGGCAGCGACATCCTCCGCCGTCCTCAGGAGCCTGCGCATCTGCTCCTCGCCCGACGCAATCAGTGCCAGATCGTCCGCGTAGGCCACGACAGAGAAGTGGCGTCCACCAAGACGATACCCGTCCGACTCAGCAGCACTATGTACTGCCCTGACCACTGGCTCAATGGCAAGGTTGAAGAGAATAGGGCTGAGCGGATCGCCCTGCTTCACCCCTGCCGCCATTGGTATAGGACCGGTAAAGCCTTGTGACGTGCGGACTCTCGTGGTTGCCCCGTGGTAAAGCTCACTCACCACGTCAATCAATTTCTGGGGCATCCCATGCATCTGAAGCGCATGCAAGAGGTAGCTGTGCGGCACAGACCCAAAGGCATTGGAGAGGTCAAGCCATGCAAGCACGACTCTTTTCCCTCCCCTTCTGGCGTCATCGATGGCTGATCGGACCACGAAGTTGTGCTCATAGCACCCCTCGTGCTCCATAAAACCTTTCTGGGGCCAGGAGATCCTGCCATTCCTGGCCCACTTGCCAATTCTGGAGGCCAGGAGCCCTGTGTACAGCTTCGAAATGCAGGAAGCTAGGGTCAATGGTCTCCAGTTGTCGAGGTCCATGGGGTTGTCTTTTTTGTGGATGAGCACAGTGTTGGAGTTCTTCCACTCTGCCGGAGTCCGGCCCTCTTCAAGGCATCGGCTGAAGATGGCCGCCAACACCACACCACCCGGGTCAGCCCTCTTGAGTGCCCAATAGGGGACCCTATCAGGGCCCGGTGCAGTATTGGAAGCCCGCCCCAGCCTAGCCGACACTTCCTCAGGGGTTATCTCACCCACCAGGTCTTGGTCTTCGTCACATGGCTCGTGAGGAGTCATGGTGTCACGAACCACCTGGGGAGTTGGCCCGACTCGAAAGTCACCCGCCGAGAAAACCCTTCTGAAATGGTCCTCCACCACTGTGTCATCCACGGTACAGAATCGACTGTCACCACCCAGAATCTGATTGACCGCCTTTTTCTTGTTGCGACGGAACAGCTTCTGGATGGCGGCAGCTTCGATTGGATCAAACCCACCCCGGGCTGCCTGTTCCCGACCAGGACCAAGGCCATGCCCGCGAGCACGGGCTCCAGGTCGCTGAGCGCCCCGGCCCCGCCCGCGGCCACGACCACGGCCCCGACCAGTCCCATCTGCCACCCGAGGGGGGCCATTTTCCCTTCTCTTGGGAGCTGCCTCGAGAATCCACGCCCCCACGACCCGCTCGAAAGCCTCAAAGGTCACTGCCTCCACCACTTCCCTCAGCCAGTGACCCTGGCGGCCATTCGGCGGCGCGGGAGGGGGCGGACCCCCAAGCTCCTCTCTGCCCCCATCAGTGGTATTTACAATGTCTAAATCTAATGCCCCCCCTATCTGAGCCCCCCCATTATTACTAGTGACACTCACAATCGAAGCGTTGCGGCTGCGACGTCTCCGCACCCGCAGACTCTCGTTCAGGACCACGTCCCAGGCGTCGCCGTCCCCACGTGCTGCAGCAGCCGTCAGCCGGGCCAGGGTCGCATCGAGGTCCACCTCGTCCCGCCGCTCGGCCTGGAGCCTAGGCACTGGTGTCGAGGCAGCAGGTCCCACAGCCACGGATGTCTCCAGTACGGCCCTTGAAGCGTCGATGTCAAGCTCCATCTCAGCACGCAGGTCAGCAACCTCCTCCGTGAAGTCCAGCAGGTCCCGGACGTGGTCCCCAACCGCAGCAGCCTCCACCTGGTCGTCCATCTCTTGTTGGTCACCAACAGCAGCAGCCTCCACCTGGTCGCCCATCACTTCGTTATCATCCACAGCCGCAGCCTCCACCTGGTCGTCAACCTCCCCCTCATGGTGCAGACGTCTGGCTCCACGGGCAGGCGCCGGCGATCCACGTGGCGGAGTTGGCACGTCGGAAGTGTCACTTGCCTCGCTGCTACTATCTCGCTGCTGTCGTCGTCTTCCTCTTCTTCTAGGCACTGCAGGGGGAGCCACGTGCTGACGAGCATGGTTTTGTGCTGTTCTTAGCATTTGGCTCTGCTCGCCACAGACCCGACACTGGTATTTGGGTTTTTTTCTATGGATGCGCCACAGGTGCTGCTCCAACTTCTTACGTGACTCATATACACCCTGCTTCCTATTATTGGGTACCCCAAAACAGTCCTCACACCTAAGTGGGCCTTCATTCTCGTCCAAAGGGAAGGGCACTAAATAATATACTATGTCCATGTTCGTAATAAATAAATAAATAAATAACGTGCAATAAATACTATAGGATAAATAACGATGAATAAATATCTCTCCAGTCCAACAGTAAAAATGTCAACGAATAATATATGTAGATTAAATAAATACTGTAGAATAAATAGTCAGATGATAAAATGTAATAAATAACTTTCGTCAATAAATAAAATTTAAAACGTAGTCCAGTTTAGTAGAATAAATTAAAACAGTTTGCAAGAAACATGTTTCGACAAACACTTTGATCTTAGCCAACAGGCCGAGAAGCGATACTTGACCGAGGATTTTCAAAATTCTCGGCCACTTTGCAACCACCCCCGTTGGTGTGAGTTTTTCACGGAATCGCGGGGCCTTCGGACACCGTCGGCGGCAAACCGGAGTAGAAAATACTGAAAAAAGGGCTTCCAACTGCGACAGGACGAGAGAATAACAACAACTGTTTCCGTACTATGTGTACGTGAGTGTGTTGTTGATCGACTTATTTCAACACTCTCGTCTGCGAACGCGTACGAGAACCGACTCGGGCCCCGAACAGTCCGGGTGCTAATGCCAGTTCTGTCCACGCTGTCCACGCCGGTTGTAGCGCTAGCGTCGCGAGACTAGGTCCACGTCAGAGGGTTCGTTCGTCGTCGGTCTCGTCGCTGGCTCCCGCTATCCGGCAGTCGCGTCACCGATAATAACGAGATAGTGTAAAAATCTGTAACACGTCGAATCGCCATTCTTTTTAACGACTGCTATCGTGTCCGTCGTGCACAGGTCGAATATGTTAACGGGAGAATCGCGTTTGTCGCGTCCGCCTCTCGGTCTGAACTATGCACTTTGCGAGAACTACCCAACTCTTCTCCTATTGGTCGAATCAAACAAAACAGGCCACGCCCACTTTTCTACCACGTAAAACGACATATTGTGTTTAATACCGTCAGTTTACCGATCGGGCTATATAATTCTATCTCGATCAAAGGAAATTGCCGCCGCCCAGAAATTCACTCTCTCTTAGTGTGTTGTTTCATTTTTTTTTTATTCTAGAAATTCATTTCTTTGTTATTATCATTTTTATTTTCATTTTCATTTTCGTTTTCGTTTTCATTTTTATTTCATTCCATTTACTTTTTTACTACAATTTTACTGAAAATCATGATACACGGTGTCTCGTCGAACGTCGTCGTCCCCCTCCTCCTCGTCACACACGTGCAGTGCTAGTTCACGCCGTGTGGAGCGCTAGTAGCGCAGCGCGAGGTCCACGTCGCGTCGCCACGACGAGGCTGCAGCCCGGCTCAGGCTCACCTCGTTCCCGGCCGGCGGCGCAGTTTAGTAACAGTGGTGACACGCGCAATCGGCACTCTTGCCGACTGGTGTTCCAATAAGATACGTCCACTGTGACGGGTCCCGTTTGTCTAGATTGTTGTATATTTCGTAACATCGTGTTTTACGTGTGGACATTCGTGTCAGTTGGCTCTCGCCGGCTCTAACTGAGTCCAGTACTAGTGGGTCGCTCGGGTTTCGTCACGCGCTCCACTCTGGTTTCCCTTCAAAACGAATAAATCTTTCGCCTTTTACTAAAGATTTCCGTGGAGGGGAACACACGATGAGTCTATAAACAAATTTTTAATTAGCGCCCGATCCTTATGGGATTGGGCCACTCACTCGAGTACAATGTTGATTGATTATCACCTCACTGAGCACGAATATACTGTCGTGTAAAAACCTATGACACGCTTGTATTCAATTCAATTGAAGATTGATATTATAAGTTGTTTATTTCATTTATTTTTTTTTTTTTACCACTCTGAACGTCCACCTCTCGACCAGTACCCTAAGGTAAAGGCTGAACGATCATCGATGACGTGCTCCCGTGCCGCTAGGGCCCGGGACCTCGTCTGCCTCACGCTCAGAGAGATGGACCGTAACTCTTCATCGTGGCTGGTATCCACTTCCGTAATGGAGTGTATAAATGAAGATCTTACTACAGAAATGATCCTGTGAAGTATGATCTTGACACGACGTCGGTCACGACCGACGGTCCAGCCGAATTCGATCGTACACAACCCTGTGAGAATCAATATATAAACACTATCGACAGACAATCTCGCGCCGGACTCGGACCTCAGTAAAGACGCTGTTCTGCAAGGAGCTCAGTCACAGTCTAAGCGAAATAAGTCGCAAACAGCACGCGACCGTTTGCCGATCGGTTTCTATAGCGTGGTTTCACCTCGTCTCCGCGCCGGCGCAGCCAGTGACCGACGACGTGTCCGAGCCAGCCACTGTTGGTCTGGACGACGTGGACGGTTTCGCTCGGTGTTTACACGTTGCCCAGAGGTTTTTCTTTTTGAAACCTCGGGATTCGTTTACCGTTAACCGTTTTCAAGACGACGACACGATTTTGGCGACATAAATTTACAATTACCGACACCGTTACAGCTGTAGTGTGGATCGGTTCTCGCACTGATACCCGCTACACGCCAGAGCCGGGTGCCCATTTCGTCGCTCTCGCACTCATACTTACCTGGCGTAGGGGTTACCGTGATCAAGAAGGCGGTTCCCCCAGGATGAGGCCCTTCCATTGCACTACGGTCGGGCTGACTCCTGCGAATGCCCCAAATGTGGGTATCTCGGGCGCGTAATTTTTGGTAGCGGGGACTGCGTTCGCGCTGTCCCTAATAATACACATTCAACTCCAATGGGGTGTATAGTGAGTAGGTAGAGAAAGTCATTCGTTATTTTATACAAACAACAGCGGTAGTGTACGTAAATAAATGATATTTTTGTTAACAATCGTTGAATAAGAATAACGTAGCGCAATAACCTGTAAACAAAAAAGAAACGGACTAAATTTTTCATAATATTAAATCGTGCAATACGTTATATTATTCAATGTTGATTGTTATTTACTTTTTTAACAGTCGATGAATTTCGTAGCGCAAAACTGACTAGGATCCTACCACGGATCTGGCGAATCCACTAATTTTCGAGTTTTTATCCATTTTGATTTATAAAACTGATAATGTATTGCTGATTGCTCTGTCAGTTAGAATAATGATGGTTCACTCAGGATGGTGACAGGTACTTCCAGCACTCGCCAACGGCCATACCACGTTGAATATACCGGTTCTCGTCCGATCACCGAAGTCAAGCAACGTCGGGCGTGGTTAGTACTTGGATGGGTGACCGCTTGGGAACACCACGTGCTGTTGGCATTTTTTTCATTTTGTACTTTTCACTATATTTAAAATTTCCTCTTGTTTATTTTTTGTTATTTCCAAAGGTCTTCTTTTCACTATATTTTTATTTTCTTATTGCTAATTTTTTGTTATTTCCAATAGTTTTCACCGTTTACTGTGACACACTTGTATTCACATTAGGCATACATTTATTTTTATTTATTTGGAATACTCGGTATGTTGTGTACAGCAAACAATACTGTAGTCTATTAACGAACTAGTGTTGACTTAATAACAACGGTAACATGAACGACCCGTCGTGTCGTCTCGTCAGCGGTCGCTCGAACGTCGATAATAATTTATTCGGTCTA